GCCAGTTAGAGACGTTGTACTTGAGAGAGTTGCTCCCAACATCCAGAATTGCGAGCTTGCTGACTTTGCAGAGTTCGGCTGGAAGCACCTGGAAACGATTCGCATTGATGTGCAGTACCTTCAAGTTGCTGCCTTCTTCGAGATCATCGGACGGAAGGGACGTGAGCTCGTTGCCCGAGAGGTACAGCTCAGTCAACAATGGCCAACGTCTCAACAGGCCCTGAGGAAGCTCCGTTAACTCGTTGTATGAGAGGTTAACAACACGCAACTCCGGGATCAGCGACAGCTCTCGGAAAATATCGTCCTCCAATCGATTGTCTGCCAGGAGGAGATTCCTTAGTGATCCCCCGAATGTCGTTGCGACATGTTGTGAGAAGTTGGAGTCTTTGCGTGACGATGGGCTTCCATCGGTGAGCGAGCGAGAAGCCGCAGATACTTTCCGCCCCCCTTGGCCTAAAGATGAGGCAATAGAGGGCTTCCGGTAAGCTGTCCCGTTGGGTGAACCTCCGGTGCTGAGTGCACCAGCTCCTGATGCTTGGCTGGGTCGGCGTGCCTCCTGTTCATCAACGGCACCTAGTTCTTCGTAATTGGGATTATTCGACAGCCCTGGGGTCACTGCAGGAGTCATAGATGCGTCGACCGGAAGCTGGGGCTGAGGACTACCATGCTTTGGAAACGCCTCCAGCACATTTGAGGAGACATTCAGCGTTTCCAGCTTAAGGCAGTGCCAAATCTCCGGTGGGAGTCGCCTAAGATTGCATTCCCGCAAGTTGAGGTATTTGAGCTCTGTCAAGCAGCCGATAGTGGCGGGCAGCGAAGCCAGAGGATTCTTGATCATGCTGAAATGTTCAAGCCTACGCAGTTTGCCAATGTGTGGCGACATTGAGACAAGGTGATTCTTGTCAAGGATGAGCTTCTGCAGATTCGGCAGATTCTCAAAGAGAGCATCGCGAAACTGAACCAGCTTGGCAGAAGCTATATTCAGAGATGTCAACGTTGGGACAGGTCCATCAATGTCGAACTGTGTCATGGGGCAATGGTCGAGGATCAAAGTCCGCAATTTGGGGAACGATCCTTTGAACTTCGAGATAGCATTGTGGCCAATGACCAGTTGCTCCAATCGCGGGAGGAGAGACAGGCGGTCTATATTGGTAATCTCATTGAATCTCGCGTCGATTTCCTTCAGACTATCGAGGCCTCGGAATACCTCATCGAGTGAACCTCTGACAATGTTATTTGTCATCCAAATTCGCTCAAGTGTCGCCAACCTCCCCAGATTGGGTAACTGAGAAATGTTGTTGAAACTGATGTCCAAGTCCACGAGGCTCTTAAGATCACAGAGCAGTTCCGGGAACACCTGGAAGTTATTTGAGGATATATTCAAGCTCCGCAGATATTGAAAATTGCCAAAATACGCAGGAAGTTCCGTGAGTCTGTTGTTGGCCATCTTGATGCTGACAAGGCCGTGCAACCTATCCAGGTTGGCATGGCTCAGATCTTCGATACGATTGTTCGAGATATCAAGATATGTCAGTCGACTAGCAAGGCCAAAACTGGCAGGCAAACGAAGAGCATCGTTGCCGATGAACTTTATCTCTCGTAGGTTGATACATCCCTGGATAAAATCCTTGGGCACATCCAAGGACAGGTTCTTTGACAGGTTCAAAGATATGATCTCAGGTGCCTTCTTGTAAAGAGTGATCGGAATGGTGACTAAACTCCGATTCGAGAGGTCCACGTGGCTAAATTTTTGGTTCTTATTGAGGACAGGCTCGCTCTCCAGACTGCTGTAACCACTGATGCGGGCTGGGAGAAAGGTGAAACGAAGGATATAACTATGATCTTCACGGCCGATTTCTTCGATCTTATCCTTCTCGGTATAACCTACCTGTTCAAGCATGCGCTTCTGCATGAGAATGGGCATCTCACTCGGGCCGAGCTGTCTGGAAAGATCATTCTTGCGCATCACTAACTCATAATTATTCAGATGATCAGTAAGAAATGATTTTCGTCCGAGTAGAAGGAGAACATCGGCAACAGTCGCATAGAGACCAGCTGAAAGGGTGGCGAAGGTCGAATCAGCGCGAAATACTCGTATGAAATAACCCACACCGTCGGGTTCGGATATTGTGGGACCAGGCTGCTCAACGCCTTCGTCGGGCAGTAAGGATGATATATCATCCTTTTGCTTTTTGACGTGCCAACTCTCCGGCGCATCCCAGTTTCCGGCAGGCAAGTTATCTCGATTTGTCCGTTCTTCTACCTGCGCGAAAGCTCCATCTGGCATCCGACCTCGGTCACCTGGAGAGGGCGGATTCACAATGCCCTCCATATGCGAGAGGTCTGTATCGAGAGCCCACATGTTGGAGTCGTCTGAGAATCTGGAATCTCTGCCGACCGGATACTCGTTGCCCGCACCTCGCCGTCCACGTAACTTGGATGGGCCAATGGCCAATCCTTTACCGTCCTTCTTTCGGTCACTTTCTCCATCATTGTACTTGGAAGATGTCGCACTCTCAATACTTCCCTGTCTGCCTCGCCTGGCGGGCGAGGCATCTCTTCGCGTCAACTTTGACGCGGCAGCTTTCGTGGTATCCTGCACTCCTTTCGCTGTCGCAATATTTTTCAGGTGGCCATGCTTTGGGCGACGTATTTTATCGAGGAAAGAACGCTTCCCCGGCTGAGCCCCCGGGGAGTTCTGACCCTGTCCCTTTACGTGGGCGCTCTGGACGCTGGGCGTGGGACTAGTGGCACGCCCAAGAGTTGTGGTTGATGTCATTGGGGTGGGGTAATTGAGACTACCTTCCCGAGATGGGTGAAGTCCAAGCGAAAGATCATCTCGGCCGGTTGCCGGGCGAGCTGGATAGCCGGCAAGATCACCGGCCGCAGTAGGCTTCTCTTCTTTGCTCCGAGAGTGGCGGTGGCCGCTGAAATGTCTCCGATTGGGATCTTTTTGGGCTGCCGCAGCACGTTGCCCTTCGGCTGTGGGCGCTTGGCGGACAGGGGCCTCTCCAAATTGAGGTATATCCTACAGTGTCTCCGCGTCAGCACAACTAATGGTGATCACCAATACAGGAATTGACATGATTGGGCGTTGTCGGGGACATGGACTCACGTTGTAGTTTTGGTACATCCAGGGAGTGATCTCGCTGGAAGGAAGAGGAGTTCGTGGCCTTGTATGGTTTTGCGGGGTTTTTTCGTGTGAGGTGTCCGTGGTGTTGCGTGATCCGTCTGAATTAGCTCGTTCTCGAGCTCTGAAGTAATCAATCGATGACGGCTTCGACACCGAAGCCTGAGTGTTGTTATCTGAATCGTGCTTCGGGTCTCCGTTGCCTTGGTATTCATCGCCGAAGAAGCCTTGCAGCTTCTTTCTGAAGAGCGCACCAGTACTAGACTTAGATCCTTGGCTACTAGCGGTCATGGCACTAGCTACCGACGGTCTCCGATGGTCAACATTGAAATCCAAGTCGAGCGGCTCACTTGTGTATGTCTGGGCGGTTCCAGGGCGGAATGTGGCGGAGGCTGGGGAGGCTTCTTGTTCCGAGAAGTCATGGAAGAAGGTATTGGGGGCATCAGCCGCCAGCATCTTAGGCGAGGATGATTGTGAGGGGGAGAGTTCTGGCTGGGAGGTGTCGGTGGGGCCGATGCTCAAATTGGACGGCCGTCCGCGGGGATTAGATGCAGAAGAATGATTTCGCTCATCGGTGCCTAGCATATTCATTGCTTTTCTGTGACTACCGAACTGTGGTGGCTTGCGCTGATCTGTCGGAGACACATCCGGGGAAGCCCAGGAGAATATGGAATTGTATAAATCGGCAGGAACCCCTAGGGGTGGTGATTTGCGGCCCTGTGAGTTGGATCTGGGAAGCATCAGTATCTGGTAACAGTTGCGCATCGTTTGATCTCATGGTTTGGTTCCCGTGGAAATGCAGTGCCTATGATATCCACCCCCCGTGAGCGGCAATGTCAGAGGAAGATCTAATCCACCGAATCAGCCTGAAGAAGAGTATGAGATGAGCCGAATGAGCTACATCGACAGACTTCTTCTCGCAGATGATTCGCCGAGTGTCTACCCAGACCAACCACCAAATGTTTGCCAAGCTCACTACCGGGTTTAATCGACATCGTTCAGGCAGCAGGACGCGGCGTATAGAGATGCGGAGAGAGAAAGCCGCGTTTTTGTCGCGCTCGGTACATTGTGGGATGGAATATGGGGTACAGGTGTTCCTACCTTAACAACTCTCGACCTCCAGAGAGCGGGGAAACACTGCGCCCATGGGAATAGCCATGATTGTGCTGCTGGTGCTGGTTCCGACCTTCTCTGACAGTCTCCTGTGACAACCAGCTATGTGCACCCGAGCTTTCCGAGCTGCGTCGGCCTTCCGTCCGATCGCCAGCCCGATATGCCATGCTTCCCAAGTGAGTATTTGACAGTTTCCGAGGGGTCGAGGAGGGGTGCGGCGAGTGGGCGGTCGGCTGTCAGGAATCGCGATCACGGGGGAGGGGGGAGGGGGGAGGATTAAGGGGAGTAGAGCAATAGCATTAATCGTGTTGGGTACGGCCCTAAAGCGCAAATGGATGTAATAAGTTCGTCGGGGTGCCTGCCGTGCAATTATACGCCGCTTGGTCCAGGGAGAAAGAGTGCAGGCGGAGAAAAGCTAGTGGGATAACGAGGTACGGTGGTGAGGGTGCAAGGTTGGTCGGTTTGGTGGGTGTTTTAAAGGAGAGGTTGTATGAAGTCTAGGCAGGCGCCTCAGTCGCCATCGGCGACTGCTGGTATATGCTGTTGAAGATGGAGATTATGGTGGAAGAGGTGTTCTGTCGTAGCACGGGGGTTTAGCGTCGGGCGCGACGGTGACAAGGCATGCTTCATGTTCTAGAGGGTGAGCGGCAGTGGTGATTGAGGGAACGTCATGACACAGTCCAGACGAGGATACTCTGGTACATGGGGGGGGAGGGGTTTTGGGATTGGGAAGAAAAAAGGGAACGAGGTGTAGGTTATGGATAGAATAGAAGAGTTTCCAGAAGTCGGGATAGACTTAGACTGGGGGTGTGGTGGGTGGGCGGAGGAAGAGAGAAGTGGTGGTACAGTAAGTAAGGTAGTTACAGGGTGGTAGTGGGTGACGGATTGTCCGGTCGGCGGGTGTGAGTGAACCTGCGCAGAGTTAACCTAGTCGGTTACCTAGTGGTTACTAGTTGAGGCTCTGACTACCGCCAACCCGCTAAACCAGACCGAGCAGCTGTTCGTTAGTTCAATATGGACGAGGAAAGCAAAGGTGAGATGGACCTTCCCGCCTATGGACTCCGTACCTAGACTACTACTAAATTGACTTGCTGAACACTGAACACTTTGCTACGTATGAGTGCACAGTACTTACTGAGTACAACTGGACACCACACCTGTTCCTACAAATCCTACAGTTCCTACACATCCAGTACTACGAACTTTACATACCCGAACCTTCCAAACTTTTGATCGTTGGTAATGATGTCAAGATCCGACTGATTTTCCGAACTCTCTCACTTTTCACATGGAATAGAGTTAATATACGGAGTACTTACATAGTACTTCTCTTCCGAGTGCGCATAAGGGATCGATTATCTAAGGTGTTTAGTTGGTTACTTTGACAACTCGACCAGTCCTCAACCGACGTCGCTAGAAAAGGGGAGTGGTTTCCGGGGATTGCATGGTCCGTGGGCGAGTCTGTGCTTTTCTGACGGAAATCCTACCTCAGATGCCGGTTATCTGCACCTTGACCATGCACAGTGCATGCTCAATTCTGTACTCCGTTCTACAGGCATGGACATGTCACTGGTACCTATGCTCATGGTTATTGCCTCGCTCGCATCAGTAATGACCAAGAACGATAGACTAGCCTAGGAGCCAGGTGTTTCATGTTTGGACGATATTTGACGAGTGTTTGACCTTCAAAGTGTAAATGGTGGAAGTAGCTATATATAGCTTAGTACGGAGTAGCTGTGAAGGTAATCTGTTTACCTAGTAACTAGTGCAGTGTCTATATTAGCTGCTCATCAATCACAGTCACCAGATCCAGATCTGGAATCCATCGCGGGGAAATTTCGGGCATTCGCCTTGAGTGTCTTCCCTTTGTTTCGCGTCTCGATCTCGATCAATCTCGGGGGGTTCGGGTCGATGATTGCGTCTCCCTGTGCTTCGTTCTGATGGTCCGGATAGGGAAAATTCGCCAGAGAAGGGTACCAGAGTATGCAGCCTTGGGAGGGGGGAATTGTTGTAGGATTGATCCCTGCGCATATTGTTCGCATTGTTACGACCAGATTCGGTCCGTGATTCATAGTGGCATAGTTTGAGGAGTCTTTCATCAATCCTAGCATGTTAGCTCAGGGGAAGAGCGCCGGGCTCATAACCCGGAGGACCCTGGATCGAAACCAGGACATGCTAAAGAACTTCTTTTTGTTTTTGCATCGTGCTGAGTACCAACAGAAGTTCTCTACCCCTTTAAATCTGATGTTTCATTTTGTTGTTTTGATTGGGCCTATAGCTGTGCTGTCTTTTGTAGCAAGCAACGAGAGAGCTGTATGTTGGGAGTCGCCAATCATTACCATTGATATTTGCCTTGTCTGTCTGCCAAGGTGGAAAGAGAGCGACGTCCATATCAAGCGCCTCTCGTCCCAGGCCCAACTTGGTTTAGTGGTCTCTACGGGCATCTTGATATAGGGTGTGGCCATGCCGATGTTACAGCCTGGGTGCACTCGTTGCGTGTGGTGGCTTTTCCACCTCGGAGCCGCTGTATATAAATAAACTCGCAACAATATCGCACCGAGGGCATTGCCTGCGGTGAGTCACAATGAAAACCAACTAACTGATTTGACATGATCAGGCAGATTGGATACGTGACTAGCAGCTGACAGTCACACTGGTACAGATAGTGAATAAGGTAGCTATGCCACGGAAATAGAAGAACAAGCCGACAAAACAAACACCACTCAACTTGCACAACAAAAAAGGATAGTTCTGGAAATTGTCGAGCAGATTATTATGCAATGTTGCTGTTCAAGGCTCCCAGTGCAGTAATAAGCTGAGAGTGACATCAATTAAGCATGTTAGCTCAGGGGAAGAGCGCCGGGCTCATAACCCGGAGGACCCTGGATCGAAACCAGGACATGCTAGCGATTTCCTTTTTTGCGTCATCTTCATTCGCCCACCATGTCACTTTTCCGCCTACAGCGTATCCAGCAACCTGTCCCTACATCCCTCTTCTGATTCTCTTCATTCATCCCCGACCTGGCCCAGCGGTTTCTTTTTTTCCCAACCGGAAGACTGCTAGCGATGACACTGGCTCCCACAAGAGGTGGAATCTCAATACATGCGAAAGACTCAATCCACAAGAGTCAAGTGTCAGAAGCATTTGGACTACACTACCCAGAAAAGGCCTGTAGCAGGTAGTCTGCGTACCAATAAAACGAGCCTCGCAACACTTTTGCTTCAAAGGAGCCCAACACATTCAGCCGGAAGTCAACGACGAGAAACCGCTGGTCGGATACCATACACCCTGAGCAATTGGGCCTAAATTGTGGCCCATGTCAGTTTTCGGGAGACCTGGTCAATGTCGCCGTGCGACTGAAGAGAGTGCCCATCTCCACCGCCTACCAGGCACTGACTACAGGCACAATACGCCCCCCCTTCACTGTAGCCCAACTCTCGGCTATTGCCCATACTCGAGGCACCATATTGTCACTCGCATGACCCAAGACGAGACAATCAAGAGACTCGACCAGAGAAGGTCGAATTTAAGCTTAACCTCCGCCACAGACGTGGCATGTTTGCTCACTCGCAGACCTACAGCGGTACTGGATTTTGGAACATGGTTGAATGTGATCGGCGTCCACACGCGTCTATGCCCTGTGATCCAGACAACGAGGTTACTCCGAGGTCTAGTCTCCTCGCCCGAGTCTATGCAGATTGCGGATGTACGAAAATCCATGCCAAATGTACAGAGCTGTATCGTTACCACACCACGCAGACAAAGTGCAAAGCTCAAGTCTGCTGGTATATTTTGGTGCTGGCCTGACTGCTGACTACGCTCAAGGTCGAATCCAAAGCCAATATTAGTCCGAGATAACAACCTCACTTAAAGACCTTTTATTTGGTGACCGCAGGTCACACAGGATGATGCAATGACAAGGCAAAAATCAGCAACATCAACTAAGCCGGAAATGCCATGCTAGCGCCAGCGTGCGACTGCAGAGGCCACGCAAAGTGCATCGCATCAGACGAGGGTAGAGCGTCACTCTGGCTGCAACTGCATGCACGGCAGATTGCCAGGCACCTTGCCCCACACCTGCCGAAGCTTGCAGGTAAACAATGAACATGTCATTCCTTGATCAAGGTCACCATGCCACCAACACAATCTTGTGCCTTGAAGTATACATGCATGGATAGGACCAGGTCAAAAAAAGAGGAGGCTGGGAATGGGGCGGGCAGACGGTGCTAAAATAGTTTAATCGGCGGGTGGCGCTTGATGCTATTGTTAGAAAAGCGGTTTGCATATGACACAACTTGGAACCTTGAAGTGTGCGCATGCCTGTCGGTGTAGATGAAGTCAGAGAGTCAGTCGGATTTGGTTGATTCTATCATCGGTAGAGTGCAGTAAAGTTTAGAGTACAGCTGAGCAACAATGCGGCCACAGCAGGGATTTATACAGTATAGACTACCCGAACATATCTGATAGTGTAGTATTTAATTTCGGGTTGCTGGAGTGAAGGTGATGCCTTACATAAGGCAGCGTCACTCGGGGATGCTTTGACCGCCGCTCGGAGGAAGCCAATGAGAGAGCATCCTGCCCAATTGGGTAAAATACGGAGTGGAAAAGCGAGGAGGCTGGACGATTCAGAAGGTTCATACTTCACTTTTCCAACACACTACTAGGTACTCTCTCCACCGTCCTTTTTTAGTTCCTGCGTCTGAGCCATGGCTGTGACTACCTCAATTCTTTAATTCCCTTTACTCCCCCCTCTCCCCCTCTCCCCCATTTCGAACTGCACTTTCTCGTCAATTCTCCAACACGTGGTGGGCCGCCCGTGATCGATTGATTGTATACTAAGTACCTACGGAGTAATAATACTTCACAACCTTGTGCCGTCGCCTTATTTTCTCAGTTTGACAGCGATTCGGGTTACACAAGGGCTCTCAAGTCCTTCAGGCTCCCTCGTTAAGACACTCTATCTTCATCGAGATTTAATTCGTCTCCGTGTCACTTGACTTTCGCCCGACTGCCTAATACACATACTTCTTGCTATGCAGCTCCCTCGACTTGGAGCCGTCGTAGGTCTCTTCTCCTACTTGAGCCTGGCCACGGCTCAGACATACACTAGCTGCAATCCTACGGAGAGCAGTACGTTCATTTACTCCCAAATTATGAAGAAACAAGTTAACCACTCTTGGCAGCATGTCCTGCGGACACCGCACTGGGAAAGTCCGCATCTTTCGACTTTACCCAAGGAAGCTCTTCCGACTTCGAGCCAACGGGTACCCCAACATATAGTGATGATGGGGTTGCGTTCACAGTGGCTAAAGAGGGGGATGCCCCACTTATCCAGTCCAAATGGTACATCATGTTCGGACGTGTTGAATATGTGATCAAAGCGGCTCCCGGAACCGGCATTGTCAGCAGTGCCATATTGCAATCTGACGACCTAGATGAGATCGATTGGGAGTGGCTCGGTGGGAACAACAATCTGGTGCAGAGCAACTACTTTGGAAAAGGAGCAACCACCCCAAACAATCGCGGAGCGACTCATGACGTCGCCAACAACCACGACGAGTTCCACACGTATACCATCGATTGGACCGACGAGCAGATTGTCTGGCAGATCGACGGCAAGACAGTGCGGGTGCTTACCCCCGAGACAGCTAATGCCAACCAATATCCCCAGTCGCCAATGGTAGTCAAAGTGGGAATCTGGGCCGGAGGCGACCCGAATAACGCACAGGGCACTATCGGTGAGATATACTAGCAATGTGCCCAAGGATATCTTCATTTTGCTAACGCCTTTGGTAGACTGGGCTGGTGGAGAGACTGACTACAGCGCTGGGCCGTACACAATGTACATGAAGTCCCTCAAAGTTACCGACTACTCGACAGGGTCCTCTTACACGTATAGTGACAAAAGTGGACTGTGGACGTCAATTACCTCGGATGGAGGCAAGATCAATGGCAACATCAATGCGGACACAATTTCTTCCGTTCAATCTGCACCTACCATAACCGCGACGGTCAGCATTCCAATTCCTTGGCCTGGAACCCATCGAGAGACTTCGAGTTATGTGACCCCCGACGTCTGGCCTTGGGTTACTGGCACAGGGGCAGCCGCTGCCTACACTGGTAGTTGGTCATATTCCAGTTCAGGACAGGTTCAGCCGCCAAGTGCGGCTTCCGTGAGTGAGCATCTCCAGTACAACTTTGATGACTTGTTGAACGGTAGTTGACGCATCTCAATGAACAGCCTTCCTCCCGGTCTACATCAGCCTGCTCGCCATCTGTGCCGGCCTCATCCTCCCCCTTCGTCTCTAGAACCAGCTCGATGGCTAGCTCAATCGCCAGTCCAACGGGGACTAGTGTGACGTTGACCGGCTTGATCAGCTTAACCAGCTCAACGAGGATCAGCTCGCTGGAGACCATTCCAACGTCCTACTGGAAAACGACCAGCTCGATAACGACCGGCCCGGTGACAAGCAGTGCGATGCTTAGCAGTTCTAGGAAAACTAGCACGCATTTGACCAGCTCGATGATGACCAGCTCGATGATGACCAGCTCGATGATGACCAGCTCGATGATGACCAGCTCGATGATGACCAGCTCGATGATGACCAG